GGGTGTGGTGCTGTAGGATCAGCACTGACCTGTAAACAATAAGATCAACAGTCCAAACCCACCAGCTCCTCCTTGGAAACCCTACACAGGGTCACTATGAGTCAGAACTAACTTGAAGGCATTTAACAACAATGACTACTGACCTTAATAACACTTTAGAGTGTTCAAGAACAAAGATGTGAGTTCGAGGTATTTTCAATAGCCTCACATGCCTGTGAAAGTTAGACAATGAATAAAGAAGACCATAGGAAAATTGATCCATTTGAGTTATGGTGTTGGAGAAGAATATTGAAATTGCCATGGACTGCCAGAAGAACAAACAAATCTGTGTTGAAAGAAGTATTCCATAATGTTCCTTAGAAGCCAAGATGGCTGAACTTAGTCTCTCATACTTTGGACATATTATAAGGAGGGACCAGACCCTGGAGAAGGGCATCATGCTTGGTAAAATGGAGGGTCAGGGAAAAAGAGGGAGACCCCAAGGAAATTGATTGGCACAGTTGCAGCAACATTGAATTCAAGCATCAGCAACGATTGTGAAGATGGTCCAGGCCCAGTCATTGTTTTGTTCTGTTATACAGAAGGTCACTATGAGTCAGAACTTACTCGACGGCACTGAACAACAACAACAATGACTACTGGGAGTGTGGTGATTCCATGTGATAAGCACTGGATTGTGAAGCACAAGGTCTACAGTTCAAATCCGGAAACTGAGGCTTGATGATGGTTTCTGTTCCCGTGAAGATTTAAGACCTCAGAAACCTTATACAGGGTTTAGAAGAACACTAAACAGCTGGGAGTCAAGTCTTTTTGGTGGGAAGAGTTTATAACCATACTAAGAAAGGCTTAGGTTCAACACTGAGCTACTTGCAGAATCCATCCTTTTTTTCCAGGAGGTCCATGGCAGTATAATGAATACCACTCTGGAGGGTCTTAAGGATGGTTTTGTAGTAGGTGGCCTGAGGAGGAGAAGCTGGAGAACTAGTAATGACCAAAGCTAAAGAAGCAAGGCCATCTGTGTAGCACTGGGTCTTGCTGCAGCCTTTATAGAAATTTTTTCTTTAAAAATAATGTCATCCCCTTTCAAGACTAAGACTTAATGGGAATACACACTATGATTGGTGACCACGTTCATCACC